GGCCTGCTGTGTTCATCCAGCTCTACACCTTGTTATCTCAGAGGAAAGGAAGTCAGATAAATGAGTTTCAGATTTTGTCTGGCTGGAAATGTTTGTGTATAAGACCATAAGAAATTGCAGCAAAAGTAGACTATTCTGCCCATCAAATCTACTCCACCATTCAATGAGATCATGGCTGATCAGATCATCCTTGACTTCACTTTGTGGTTTCTTCCCCCATGTAATATTTCCATCTGGTTTCAAATGTTGGACCTTTCACATTAAGTGAGTGTTATTCCCACTATGCCACGGAAATGTGGTGTTTCTGAGAGGGAGCATGATTGAACAATCATTTCAACAATTCTTGTTTATGTGGTGATGCTAGATAATATAAATTCAGAAGCCAAACCAACTGGGCAGAGGCACCTGCTATTGGTAGAGCTGCAATTGTAAAAGTTAATTCAAATTTCAGAACACAGTCCTTAGGTACCAGGGATGAGAGCACAGTGCTGGTGATGAGGGATCAGGAACTTGTCTAATGAGATTTTGGAGACACAAGTTCAAGCTGCAGCTTGGGAAATTTAAATTAAATAATAATTTGTATAATATTACACTAATTACTAATGCTCATGAAAGTACTGGATTGCTGTAAAAAGAATCTGCTCAACTAATGTCATTTAAGGAAGGAAATCTGCTATCCTTACCCAGTCTGGCTTTAACAGCCCCCTGAAATGGCCTAGCAAGCCACTCAGTTGTAACAATTTGCTCCAGAGTTCCTTGATAGCAGAGGACATGTATTTACACCACATGGACTGCGGTGGTTCCAGAAGGCAGCTCACTATCACCTTTCCAAGGACAGCTAGGGATGGGCAATAAATGCTGGCCAGCCAATGATGCCCATAGTATCAAGAATACATTCTTTTAAAAAATATCTTCTTGGATTTTAGTACTAGCTGCTTGATAATTCCCTGTCAGATCGATATTCAGTTCCAATGAAATCAGTGGAATTGACGCTGCTCATTTTGTGCTACTGATGAAAACCGATTTTATGACCTGTTATGACCCCATGTTATTTTAGCGATGTAAGTGGCCGTAAACTATTGTGAATTCAGCCAGTCTGCTCAATGTATCACATACCTGTACAAAATCCATTGGTTCCTGAAATAAAGGCATTTTATTCACAACTGAACAAGTACCAATCTTCAGGAGGACATTATACTCAAGGAAATTGAAATTGATTAGGATCCTGACTAGGTAGGCACTTAAATTAATTTAATTCTTAATATTTGACTGTGATCAGTGATATTGGTTCAGCTTTTTTTAATGTTACACTGTCTGAATAGATGTAATCTGAAAGCTGATGCATCTGGTACATTTAGGATTAATAAATGTTTAACCATTAGCATTAATTTTGTTTTTTAACCTTTAAATATTTTGATGTCCTAAACATGAGTAATCTGAAATTACTTGGACAAAATTTGGAAATAATGTATTTTTTGAGGCTTTTAAAATGTGTTTTATGGCAAATTATTAAAAAAAAAGTTCCAGATGATTTGAAACTGCCAATGTCAGCAAACATGTCAACAGACTCAGTTGGGTTGTGGTTACTCTCTGACCACTGGAAGCTTTCACCAAGCTTCTGCCAGTCTCTGGGATTCTGCATTCAACTCAGTGCCATGCACACTGAACCTCTCACCCATTGTCAATCCTAGTGCAGTAGTCTTTTTGTTACCATCAGCTTCCAAGTACGTCTTTAATATCAGACAGGTTGCTATGACAATCAAGTTTGGTATTAGCACAGCAAATGATGTCCTTAACCACATCAGGAGTTCTCTCAAAGATTCTAGCAGTGATTTTTCAGCCTTCAGCTAACATTAACAAGGAGGCTGGGCCTTTCTTTGAGGAGCTTCCCACCCTCCATAAGAAATTCTATGAATTATTTTAACCTATTCAATGTTTCTGTTAAAACTGTGAGCTTGTCACAGCAATCTGGATGTACATTCTATACTCAGCACAGGGACTCTGAGGCACTATTCAACTCTGCCCCAGGGTCTGTTTCATGGCCGTATAGTAAAATTTCTACCAGCTACCTGTTAGTCATTCAATATGGCACTAGCAACATCACACATGCCATTACAATCCATAATGGCAGCTACTTCCAATAATCCATAGGGGGTCTCGAAAAATGTTTATCCGTGGACATAGTTCTACTGTTGATAGCCATTTTATTCCATTTCCACTGGTTATCTTGCTTCTAAAATACATTTTCCTTTAAATCCTACGTATTCTTTAGGGTTTATTTTGAGAACGATTGGACTTGGGCTGAAAGAAAATTTACTTCCATGCCCTGACAGTGCTGTTCTGTGCCTGGTTTGGATGAGGACTTGCAACAGTAGTGTAGAATAATGCATTTCTTCTTAGGGAAAAGACTCTTGCCTCTCAAGAGTCAACGTCAATTGGATACAATTGCAGATTTTATCAGTCACGATATTTCCTTAATCAGCCTGTTCAGAGATGTTATTACACATCCCTGGAGCAGTTGGGACTTGAACCTGGCCTCCTGGCTCAGAGGTAGGGACACTACCACTGTTTCGCACGAGGCCTTCGTTGTATCAATGTATGGTTCAAAATCTGATGCATTAAAACTGAATGAGGCTACCCCTACCTTTAAATTGGGTTTGAAAATGATTGTGGTGCTTTAAACAAACTTTATTGAAAACCTTTGACATTGTGTTGTGCTGGTATTCACATTTAGTTTTATCCATGTTCTACTTGTTTAGTGTGCATGTACATTTTATTTTTTGTTCCATGAGATGAGTGTGTTACTGGCTTGCCAGGATTTATTGCCCATCCCAGTTGCCTTTGAGAACGTGGTGACGAGCTGCCTTCTTGAAATGACTGTAGTGTATGTGGTGCAGGGACACCCACAGTGCTGTTAGGGAAGGAGTTCCAGGATTTTGACTCTGCCACACTGAAGGTACAGTGATATATTTCCTGGTCAGAATGGTGAGTGGCTTGGAGGGCAGCGTTCCTATGTATCTGCTGCCCTTGTCCTTCTAGGAGGTAGAAATAGTGGATTTGGATAGTACTGTTTTAGGCGGTTTGGTGCATCTTGTAGATGACATACAGGTGAATGTTAAAGGAAATGTATAGGGTACCAAGCATGCAAGTTGTTTTATCCTGGATGGTGTCAAACCTTTTGAATTGGAGCTGCACTCATACTGCTAAGTGGGGAAGCTTTCCATCACACTTCTGACTTGTGCCTTGTCGATGGTGGACAGGCTTTGGGGAGGGTGGAGGTGAGTTACTGTCTGCAGTATTCCTAGCCTCTGACCTGCTCTTATAGCCACAGTACTCATGTGGCTAGTCCATTTCAGTTTCTCATCAATTATAACCTTAGGATGTTGATGGTGGAAGATTCACTGATGATAACACAGTTGAGTGTCAATTAAGAGAAGGCAATTAGGTTGTTTCCTTTTGGCAATGCTAATTGCCTGGCACTTAATGAAAAGATTCTTGGCAGTGTGGAGGGGCAGAGGGATCTTGGGGTTCATGTTCACAGTTCCCTGAAAGCTGCCATCCAGGTGGATAGAGTTGTTAAGAAGGCGTATGGTGTGTTAGCTTTCATTAATAGAGGGATCGAGTTCAAGAGGCGTGAAGTTATGCTCCAGCTATACAAAAGCCTGGTTTGGCCACATCTGGAGTACTGTGTCCAGTTCTGGTCACCTCATTCCAGGAAAGATGTGGAAGCATTGGAAAAGGTGCAGAGGAGATTTACCAGGATGTTGTCTGGAATGGAGGGAAGGTCTTACGAGGAAAGGTTGAGAGCGCTAGGGCTTTTCTCTTTAGAACGACGAAGGATGAGAGGTGACTTAATAATGATGTATAAAATGATCAGAGGTATAGATAGAGTGAACAGCCAGAGACTTTTTCCTAGGGTGGAGGTAGCTATTACGAGGGGGCATGGTTTTAAAGTGAGTGGAGGTAGATATAGGGGAGATGTCAGAGGTAGGTTCTTTACTCAGAGAGTGGTAGGGGCGTGGAATGCATTGCCGGAGAGGGTAGTGGAGTTGGCGTCATTAGGGGCATTTAAGCGGCTATTAGATAGGCATATGGATGATAGTTTAAGGTAGGGGTGGAGGTTAGATAGACCTTAGGATTAGGGTAAAAGTTCGGCACAACATCTTGGGCTGAAGGGCCTATACTGTGCTGTACTGTTCTATGTTGTGTGGCAAGAATGTTACATGTCACTTCTCAGCCAGAGCCTGAATGTTATCTTGATCTTGCTGCACATGGACATGAATTGCCTCAGTATCTGAAGAATTCTAGAGCGTTCAGCAATCAACAACAAAAATCCCCATCATTAACTGTGTGATGCAGGGAACATCATTGACAAAGCAGCGACAATGGTTGGGCCTAGAGCACTACCCTGAAGACATTCTGCAGTGATGTCCTGAATGTGAAATGAGTGATCTCCAACATCCACAACCATCTACAGAAAATAGAGAAACTCAGCAGGTCTGGCAGCACCTATGAAGAGAAAGCAGAATTAAGACGGAGTCTAGTGACCCTTCTTCATAATTTTTGAGTTTCTCCAGCAATTTGTTTTTGTTTCAGATCTCCAGCATCCACAATTCTGTTTTATTTTAACAACAACCATCTTCCTTCGTGCCACGTCTGACTCCACCCAGTAGAGTTTTCCCAATTCCCACTGACTCCAGTTTTGCTAGGACTCCTTGATGCCACACTTAGCAGAATGCTGCCTTGATGTCAAGGGCAGTCACTCTCACCCCACCTCTGGAGTTCAGCGCTTTCAAGCACGTTTGAACCAAGGCTGTAATGAAGTCAGGAGCTAAATGTTTTAGCAGAACTCAAGCTGAGCTTTAATGAGCAAGTTAGTGCTTATTAAGGCTGCTTGATTACACTGTCAATAACACCTTCTGTCACTTTGCAGATGATCAATAGAAGACTGATGGTACAATTCATTCTGCTTTCTGTGGGCAGGATATACCTGGACAATTTTCCACATTACTGGGTAGATGCCAGTGTTGTGCCCAGCTGTTTCAGTATAGCTAGGGTCATATCTGGGTCTTTGCAGTGTCATTGACTTTAATCATTACTTGATATTATGTGAAGTGAATTGAATTGGTTGAAGATTTGCCTCTGTGATGCTGGGGACCTCAGGAAGACGCCAAGATGGATCATCCACTAGGCATTTCCGGATAAAGATAGCTACAAATGCATCAACATGGTCTTTTACATTGGTATGTTGGGCATCCCCATCGTTGAGGATGGGGGATCTTTCTGGAGCCTCCTCCTCCTCCTGTAGTTGCTTAATTATCTACCAGCGTTCATGACTGCAAAGCTTAGACCTGATCTGCTGGTTCCAGGATTGCTCAGCCTGACTATTGTATGTTGCTTTCATCTGTTTAACATTTTAAAAATATGCTCATTCATAGAAATGTGGCATCATTGGCTAAGCCAGCATTTAATGCTCATCTATTACTGTCCAGAGAGCATTTAAGTAGGTAGTGGTAGCTTCAAAATTTTGACACCTTAGTCTGAGCTATGCCTGGTGCTGCTCCTGACATGCCCTCCTGGGCTCTTCATTCAGCAGGGGTCATCTCCAAGCTCGATGTTAATGCTGATGGGCCATGAAGTTACAGATTGTAGTTGAATACAATTCTGCTGTTGTTAATGGCTCACAGTGCCTCAGGGATGCTTAGTTTTGAGCTGATACATATTTTCAGGAATGGCTTTGTTTTTGAGCCAATTTGGCCATTTCACAGAGCAGTAAGGATCAATCTGATTGCTGAGAGACTGGAATCACATGGACTCCAGCCAGTAAGGACAATTGTCTTCCTTGCCTAAAGCACATCATGTGTAATTTTAAAGCAATCCAGTAGTTTCATGGTCAGAAACTATTCATACTTTATTTAAAATCTAGATTTAGTAAATAAATTCCACCAGATGCATTGATGGGAACTCTATTTTAATTCAATCACATAGGACCCCATAGACTTCTAGTCCAGTAACATCAGCACTACATCATCACTCCCCTCTCTCATGTTTTATGCACTTTTCCATAATTTGCCACACTTTATACTGATTTTCTAATCTTTTTTGTCCGAGGTGTCTCATCATAAAATGAAGATTGTGTCACTTAATCTAGAAGCTCATTGACATACAAAACTCAGCTTTAAATGAATTTTACCATGCTTAATGAACAATTTTAATTTACCACAGCAGAATAATCTCATTATCCTGTTTTAAAAGAAATGTTTGGATAATCATTGCCACAACTTGAAGTGTGTGTTGGTAAAGACATGGAAGTCAGTATATGTTTAAAAACTATCTTCCCTGCAGCTGAGCACAGCCAAAGGCTTGCAGCTGATGAACGAAGGAAGGAATATCGTGAAGAGCAGTACAATGAATGGGAGAATTACGTAGAAGAGGAACAAGATGGTAAGATTCAGAGAAAACCCAAATGATGAGTAAAATTGGAATGTATTCAAAGTGAAGTATGGGATGGTTTATACAGTTAACTAGAAAAATATCAAATTCTCAAATCACAGAAATGTAATGGCACAGAAGGAGGCCATTTGGCCCATTGTGCCTGTACTGCTTCTATTTCCATAGTGCCAATCACCTGCCTTTTCCCCATATCCCTGCTCATAATTTCTATCCAAATAATCATCCAATGCCCTTTTGAATGCCTCATCTTTCCTGAACTCTTCTCCATCTTATTTCCAGGCAGTGCATTTTATACCCTCACTACTTGCTATCTAAAGTCTTTTTTCTCACATTACCCTGGCTTCATTTACAGATCACTTTAAATCTTCATCCTCTTGTTCTTTATGTACTCTTGCTAGTTTTTTCAAAAAAAAAACCTTTTCTTTAGGTTAGAATGTTTTAAAATTCAGATTTTTGACAGTGTGTGACATTGATTGGGCAGCACAGTGGCTAGCACTGCTGCCTCACAGCGCCAGGGACCCAGGTTTGATTCCACCCTCGGGTGACTGTCTGTGTGGAGTTTGCACATTGTCCCCATGTCTGCGTGTGTTTCCTCCGGGGGTTCCAGTTTCCTCTCACTGTCCAAAGATGTATAAGCAAGGTGGATTGGGCATGCTAAATTGCTCATAGTGTTCAGGGATGTGTAGATTAGGTGGGTTACAGGGGGATGGGTCTGAGGGTTGATGTGGACTTGCTGGGCTGAAGGGCCTGTTTCCACACTGTATGGATTCTATGGATCTGCACTGAATTTTCATTAGATTGTCCTTTCTTACTTGCATGGCAGGACCTCAGTTCTGAAAAGGTGACTGGCAACTCAGCATGAAATTATGTTGAACTGCTCCAGCAGCTTATTACCCAACTGTGTTGTTCTGCAGAAAGTAATCTTTGCTGAATTAGCAAAGTCTTTGAACATACAGTTGTCAAATTTACATGGCCAATTGCAGAAAAAAATTATGAAACAAAATACCTTTCTGAAGGGAATAATTAATAATTGAGAGTTAACTCAAGCTATTATGATACATTCTTCACAAACTATTCTGTGCTTTGGAGATAATGATCAGAAACAAGTTATCCTTCTGGAACATGGAGGTGCTTAAGATGGCAGAAAATAAGCAATCTGGGTAAAAGGACAGGCACGATTTGGCCAGTATCAACTATAGTATCTCATTAATGGAGAAATACTGAAAGTTTATATTTACAACCAGGAAATGTTATTGTTTCACACCTCAGATTAACAGGTTGAAAGTCTTCTCCACTCGGTGTAAAGATTCTACATGAAGTTTGTTTGAGATTATAATGTCCACAGTAAATAAAGCGGAATGAGTAGATATAGTGTATTTGGATTTCCCAAAGCCATTTGATAAGGTACCACGTAAGAGATTTGTACAGAAGAACTTGTGGCATTAGGGTAAAATACTTCTGTAGATAGACACTGGCTCACTAAGAGGAAATGAAGAGCCAAGATAAGTGTGTAATTTTCACCTTGGCAAACTGTAACCAGTTAAAGAACCACATGAATCACTGCTGGGGCCTCACTTATTTACACTCTAAACTAATAACTTGATGAAATTGCTGATGATACAACAATAGATTCCCTCTAAATGCCCCTTGGGGTGTGGGCATATTGGCTTTCGGTTGACTGTCCTTGATGTTTGAGGTGTGTGCAGGAAAAATTAGAGGGGACTCTAGGGAGGATGGAAGATGTGAGGATATAAAGTCTGCAAAGGCTTACAGGTGGGCAAAAATGGAATAAAATGTGGGGAAATGTGAGGCTGTCTATTTTAACAGGAAGAATAGAAAAGCAAAACAGTATTTAAATAGAGAAAGACGACAGCATGCTGCTGTACAAAGTGATCTTGTTGTTCTTGTACATGAAGTTATAGCAAGCAGTTAGGGAGGCATGTAAAATGTTGACCTTTATTTTAAGGGTGTGGAATATAAACATAGAGAAGTCATGCCACATCTGTGTAGGGAATTGGTAAGGCTACGTAATAAGTCTTATGTACAGTTTTGGCATTTTTACTTTAGGAAAGATATTCTTACAATGGAAGCTGAGAAGAAGTTCATTAAGATTTCCGGGATGAAAGGGTTTGTTTCATAAGCAAAGGTTGAATGGATTGGACCCAATTTCATTTGAGTTTAGAAGAATAAGATGATTTTTTTTCAACACATTGGCAGAGTAGATGCTAAGAGAATGTCATAGACACTGTCATGAGGTGGAGGTAGACGGTCCCAGTGCTGGATCATAGGCTCAGTTGTGCTATTGTGAAATAAGATTTGCAGGACTGATAACATTTGTAGCTGTCAATATTGAAGTAATATTTTACTGAATTCAACCAGTTTATCAGGAATACAGAACATAGTACCTTTTACGAATACTTACCATATATACCTGAGTAATGGTTGAGTAATGCACAACTTCATCTTTGACTTGGTCCAAAATTTCCAAACTCTTTGTACTTATCACTCGCTCCCGAAGGCAAACTGAACCTGGTGCAAGCTGAATTGATAGGATTATAGAGTAGAACAGTGTTGAAAGTGGCTACTCAGCTCCTGGAATCTGCAGATGTACTGTCAGCTCCAGTGGCACTATGTTTGGTGGTGGTGCTGGTGGGGACAGACTCTGACCTGGAAACACTGATAGCAAGGTGACAGAAAGACAGGATTTCAATCCTTCCAAAATGTTATGCATGTAAATGTCAACCCCCTGCATTTTGCTGTAGCAACAATGTTTATCTGATTAAATATATATTTAAGCTTTCTTTGAACTTATTGTATCAGAATGAAGAGCTTATGAAGAATTTATGGCTTGAATCATGAAGGGGTTCCTATGAGTATATATCTATATATAATAATATATAATTCACCATGAAGTGGTCTTCAAACTTACAACTGCTATTTTATGTGATACTTAGCATTGAACCAACTCTAGTTCCATGCTTGGCAGGTAGAAACAGTGTTTTAAAAGCACATAACTTCAAACCATTGCTGAAAGCAGAAGGTACATTCGCTAAAACTGCAGCCATCCATTACCAAAATAAAAACAAACCTTTTACTGACTTATGATCCATGTCATCCTCATTTGGATGCTTTATAATTTACTTCAGCATTGGTGTGGATATTTCTCCACTTGTTCATGAGTACAGTATTGCCAATATACAATGTACACATAGGGATATGAGGGATGCATATTCATTTTCTGAAAGTTAAACTATTTCATTGGTAGATATTGCTTCAGTCCAAATGATTGTATCACATACACAATTATGCTGCCGGTCCCTTTTACTTGCCAACAATACTGACTGTATAACCCACAAAATGCAGTCTCTGCAAGAGCAAATCTGGAACACTGTGATGGTAATCAAAATAGTTCTTTACTGTAGCTAACTGACAATTTCAATCTAATCCTTTTCTTCTGATTATTCCATAGAACAATATGAACGGTCTCGTGAAAAGGTCGAGTCGTGGCGTCAGTGGCACTTTGATGGTCTCTACCCTCCATACCAATACAACCGCTACATTTATTAAAAGATTCCTGTGAGCCTCAGATTTATGAGTTAGAACCGAGACTGCACACTATAAGGCAACATCATGTACAGATTGGTTAGATATAACAGATTTGGTGTTCTACAGTTTTCTTCAAAGTGGCAATAGAAGAATGATGAATAAATCTGTGCTTTTGATTTATTGCGTGCAGCTTCTATAGGGCATAGCTTTGATAAATACTGTATGGCTTTCTTTCAATGTTCTAACAAGTTCATAAATTTGAAGCATTGTTTGATTCAAAAGATTTTTAACATTTTGTTGCAAAGAGGAGTATTAAAGTTGTATGTGCCAGCCTCCCATAGGTAACAGACATGTGCAGAATATCAGACTGCTAAGAAACAGCAAAAGCTTCAGGCTATTAAAATCTTTACCCATAGTTTAGGGTCTATTTCATCTAAGAGTCCCTGTATTGAAAGATAGCTTTTCTCAGCTACTTCTATTTATCAAATACCTTTATTGTAATAGAAAGTTCCATGGTGCTTCACAGGAATGTATAGAACAAAATTAGACACCAAGGAAAGTATTAAGGGAGATGTCCAAATACTTAATTGAAGAGGTAAGTTTTAAGAAAAATCTTGAAGGAAGAGCTAGAAGGGCAGAGAGGTTTAGGAAAAGAAACTTGAACTGTAGGGCCCAGGCAGCTGAATGCACGGCCCCCTTCAATTCAAATATTTGTGCTGTATAGTTTCCTTTTCACTATATAACTTTTAATTATGCACTTAAGCTGTACTACAACTGCATGCAGAATATTAAAAATGAACAGAATAAATATTTTTAATCCCAATATTTTTGTTGGTACTGAGTTTGTTAAAGATTTAGTAGTGACTTACTAAACCACTGGTATCAAGTTCCATAATTGGTGATTGATGTTGACACTACTCAACGCAAAAATACTGCACTTCTGTAAACTGAGTTGGCTGGTCTGTCTTGTTAATCCAAAAAATTCAAATACTGTAGTCAGCTCCATGCATCTTGAATCCAACAAATTCTAATGTTAGCAAGTCTCATGTTTGGCCCACTCAGGTTCCTATTAGGAGTTTTTATTGCTCAGGAATATCTTATGATATACCATTTAACAAAAACCCAGCAGATTTACATGACTTCAGTCACCACTGCACTGAAATTTTTTTGCCGAATGTACATCTGGCTCTACCATTGAAGCAGTTAATTTCCAAAAAGTGGTGGGATTTTTATTAACTGTATCAAACACCATAGTAACCTGTTTAAAACTGCAGATAAACTGCAGTACTCACCCTACTGTCACATGCCAATAAAGCTAATTGTATTTGTAACCAAAATTCCAACAAAATGAGTTTCAAATAAACTGCAAAGCAACACCAGTGCATAAAAAACTCCTAACAGCTGGTTAAAGACCAATATTTCTGATGTGTACTCACTGAAATTGAATGAGACTGTCAGGTTTATAGGAAATTGGAACTGTAGGAGGCCAGTTAGCAGTTACAGCTTGTGGCTCATTCAGTCAGATAATGCTTGATTTATAATCTAACTCCTCACACTGAGGATCTATTATGATTTTCTTTCAGGCAGAGCTGATCTTTATTTTTGCAGTTACACATGCTTTGGACCAATGTTTTGTTTATCTTTGCCTTGTTTTAAGACATTTTGCTGTTTAATCCCTCCCACTCTCTAACGTATCCCTGACCTTCCATGTTGCTCTGCCTGACCCTTACCCCTTTTTTCAAAAGCATTAAAAGCCATTGCATGTTCACCTTCTCGGTTCCAATGAAGAGTTATATAGGAACTGAAATGCTATCTGTTTCTGTCTCCCAGACCTGAGTTTTTCCAGCACTTTCTGCTTTTATTTCTGTATCCATGGCATTTTGCTTTATCCTTATACCTTCCTTTGCCTCATAGCCTATGAAATGGGGTCATTTAAGCTTGGATGGTTGGTTGTGATGCAGAATGATGCCAACAGTGTGGGTTCAATTCCCACTCTCCTTCTCAACTTCTCCTCTTGCTAGGAGTGTGGTGGGCCCTCACATTAAACCACCACCAGTCATCTTTTTCTAATGAGAGAGCAGGACCGTGTTGACTTTACCACACCCATTCAAGAACATGGGTTATCCAGATTAGGTTCATGTTTCAGTTCAATAGTGAGGGAACACAATGCTGTTAGTGATAACACAGTGTGTGGCTGGAGGAACACAGCAGGCCAGGCAGCATCAGAGGAGCAGGAAAGTTGACGGTGTCACTCTGCATCGTAAACCAGCCGTTCAGCCAAATGAGATAACTGACCCCTCAGTGTTTATCAGTAACGTTTATCAGGTATGATGGCCATGTCATTAACCAGTACTTAAAAATCTAATGTATTAATGACTAGGTTTGAAACTCTGTCCAGTTTATCAGATTTAGACACTTCTCTGTCCCTCTCAAATCCCTCAACCAAGGCAGCAGCCACAATAATAGCAGTTCCAATCTTATTCTAAATAGTTCTGCTGAGTGAGCGCAGGAGGAAATCTACGAAGGTAAGAATGAAAATGCCAAATAACACACATGTAGTTTCATAAATCAAGTAGCAATGTTAAAAGATTCAAGCTACATATCCAGGGGACTCCAAATTGTTTGGTAAAGATAAAATATCAAATTAAGAACAGGATAGGTATGACATTCTTTAAACTTCTTCCCTCATTCAGTTGGATCAAGGCTGACCTGTACTTTAACATCAATGAGGTTTCTTGTCCATCATGTCTATGTAACAAAAATATATCAAACAGTTCTGAAATTTTGCACCCCTGCCTCAATAGCTTTTCTTGGGGTATGTTCCAGTTTTGCATTCTTTGAGAAGACTGCTTCATGACACTGTCATTAAACAACTTTGCTCCGATGTTAAGGTTACCTGGATCTGAACTCCGTCACTACAAACAATAGATTTTATCTCACCTGTCCAATCTTATAATCATCCTAACTATCTGGATGCTTAACAAGTCTTAAGTGTTGGGAAAAAGAATTCCTTTCACCATGTGAACTTTACGGTTGTGGATAAACATCTGGTCTAACTTCCCACTGAAAACATTTGTTTCAAATAAAACGACTGAAATGAGTTTAGAAACAAAGCCAGATGTTTTACCAGATCTGACTGACTTCAGATAAAAGTTACTGACCAATACAAGTAAATAGCTGATGTATTTTAAAACTGCCAATAAAATGGCTCATGTTACTGTGTTACTAGATCTGGCCTGAAGCAATGCATACCTTTGTAGATAATATTTTAATCCTTTTCCAGACAGCTTACGAATATGTGGGTATCTTTCAAAAACAGAAAACAAGTTGAGTTTATCCAAGGGATACTGCACCAGAAAATGCTATATAACTTGATGTATCCGGATTCACTTATTAGTTATTTTCTGGCCAAACCAAATATTTTTTCGACATTAAAAACACTTTCTGAAAGCACCAAACAACACAAAACTGAGGGACAGGGCTACTTAAACACAATCTGTTTTTAAAAAACAACTTTGGGAATGCAATATTTTCCATTTCTGTACCCAGCATCTGAGTCAGCTGTTCTAACCAGATAGAAGATAGCTTCCATCTACTCTGTTTACAATGCACCTCTTTAACTCCACAAGGACACCTTCACTGGTTGAGTACAATTTTTTCCCTCAGAAATTACAAAAAATATTTCATGGTCTAGGACTGATAAGTATTTTAAAATGAGAGGATGACTAACAATTTCCATTTTATTTGTTTTCAGGTAGGTGATACTACTGGTTGTGCTGTTGGCATTTACTGCTCCTCTAGACACACCTTTAGCTTCTTCACTTGTTCGACCATCCCCAACCTGCCTCAAATCATCAATTGCCCTTTAATGTCCTCCCCCATCACATATAGATCTTTCCTTCCCCTACCTCCGTACTTGCTTAAGAACTAATTCACCTCTGATCTTTTTCATTCTCAATGAAAGGTCTTTGGCTTTACAGTGAGCTGGCATGGACTCAATGGATCGAACAGCCTCCTTCTGGACTGACTCAATGACCTGAATTGATTCAGTTTCTCTCTCAACGGATGCTGAACATTTCCAGCATTTTCTCATTCAGTTACAAATTTACACAGTGACCTTTAGAAACTGAATTGAAACAGTTTGAACTTGTTTCATGAGGGACCTTCAGTCAGCAGGGAAGAAAATGTCTTTCTTAAAAAGTTTTCTTTAGAAGATTTCAACTGAAGAACATTCCTGTTGAGTCTACCAAGCAAAACATTAAGCACACTTTTTTAAAAACTGCATAAACAAAAGTATTTTTATAGAACATAGAACATTACAGCGCAGTACAGGCCCTTCGGACCTCGATGTTGCGCCGACCTGTGAACCTAATCTGAAGCCCATCTAACCTAAACTATTCCATTATTATAGATTGTCTGGACTTAATAATTTATATAAACAATGGAATGCCGGTTATTACATACCTGGTCCAACCATCGCATTCCCACTCTGTACCTTCCAAATGAACAATCAAATGTTTTGGCAAATCTTAATGCAAGAATAATATGACTGTAGCTTGTTTTAAATGGAAGGCACAGAGATCCTTTAAAAAATGGGTTTAGAACTTTATTTGAACTTTTAAAGGGCTGGATGGTTATTCTAACAGCTATAAACTCACATGGCTGAATTCATCCCATTCCGTCCCAAAGGTACTCAGTCAAGTCACCATAGACTTACCAGACCACAGGGCTGCTCTCTCTCAAGAGAGACGACGCGTGGGGATTTAACCTGAGGGCCACCACACCTCAGGTGAGAGGAGTGGTTGAGAAGGAGAGTCCTTCATGGTAACCTCAGTCAGTGTGGGAACTGAACCCGTGCTAACAGTGTCACACTGCTTCGCAAACCAACTGTCCAGCCAACTGAGCTAAACTGACCGCGAAGGTACTACGTACTTTGTGAAGAACAGTTCGGACATCCGGCATGCAAGTTTGAAAAAAAGATCAAGAGCTAATTGCTCGAATCAGTAACTGTTCTGTGCATATGTTGCATGTAATACAATAGTGCCATCTATATGAAGACCACAAAGCCAGTGAAGAAATTGAAAAAAAAATTCACATGTATCATACAAGAATTGAAAACAACAGGAAATGAATAACAGAGACAACAAGGTGCAGGGCTGGATGAACACAGCAGGCCAAGCAGCATCATTGGAGCAGAGAGGCTGACGTTTCGGGCCTAGACCCTTCATCAGAATAACAGAATGCTTCTTGTCTCCAGAATGGCAATGGTTAAGGGATGACCTGACAGAGGTATTTAAAATGATCAAAGGGCTTAATAGGGTGGATGTAGAGAAAATTGGCTGTATTTTACCAAAAATCAATTAAGTGCCCTTATTGCGGAGTTTCATGGTGGATTTATCACCAGGAATTCTCATGAGTTCACTCTGACGATTTTATGTTGCTCACCTCATTATGTATATACCACTGCCCTGTGGCGTCACATCCATGATTTCTTACGCTCACCAGAGCGTATAGGAAGTAATTGCCACTGGCAGAACATTGCAGGATTCCTACCCTGGCACCACATCTAATGCCTAGCTGTGCACCAGGTCAATTACTGCCACCCAGGAACAGCCTTTCACAGTGCACATGGTGGGAGAGAAATGAAAAAAAAGCTCAGGGTGCACATGGATGACACTACATTGGAAACAGAAGGTCACATTCATAAATATATTGCTACATTACGTTATCACCTGTCTGATTGACAGTCATTGTTGCTGCAGCTACAAGAGTGAAGGTGCACAGGAAACTCTGCCCCCAGAAGGATGGAT